GGCCCGGGACAGTGTGCGGAGCCTCTGCTGGCTGGGAGAAATGACTTACCCGCTGCCCCTCCAGGGGCTCCTCCTAGAAAAACAGCCCTGCTTTTGGGGTACACGAAACAAGTGGGGACACGGCACCAAGCCAGGGTTAGCTTGTCATCTTTTTTTTTTTTTTTTTTGGAGAGATTTTCGCTATAGGGCGCATGCACTTGCCAGGCAGACAGAGAGAGACAGAGACAGAAAGCGAGAAATAATCCCCCAGGGGGGATGGTCACACTGCAATCCCTTCCCCTCCATTCCCCTCTTGGTATCTTGGGCACGCACACACACGCACCCGGTGTGTATTTTAAACCACCGGGTCTGGGACGCGAACTGCGGTCGACTACGTGGGAGTCAAACAACATAGCCATTACGCTAACTGCTGGTTCCTGCTTGTCATCTTTTGGGGTTTATTTTTGGGGATAAATTTACTCCCCAAACCTATCTGAAAAGTGGGAAGGGGAATTATTACTGGCCAAATGAGTTGTCTGAATTAAGGAAGTACGGTTTGGAAATGCCAGGAACCCAACAAGTCATTTTTTTTTTTGGAGAGGTTTTCGCTATAGGGCGCGTGTGCTCGCCAGACAGAGAGAGAGAGACATAGAGACAGAAAGCGAGAAATCACCTCCCAGGGGGGATGGCCACACCACAATCCCTTCTCCTCCATTCTCCTCTCGGGATCTTGGGCACACACGCACACGCGCCCGGCGTGAGTTTTAAGCCACTGGGTCCGGGACGCGAACTGCGGTCGACTACATGGGAGTCCAGCGACATAGCCATTACGCTAACTGCTGGTTCCCACCAATACGTCATTCTTACAGTCAGGTCTAATGATCTCTCTATTAAAAAATATTTTTTAAAGGATTATTTTATTTTAACTTTATTTATTTATTTATTTATTTTGTAATTTGACCAGAGAAAGGACAGAGAAAGAGAGAGAAAGCCAGCCGCCAGGTTCGGGACTCGAGCCATGGTCAGCTATGTGAGAGTCCAGCACCCTTAATCACCACTCCACCTGCTGGCCCGTATTCAAAATAATAATAGCACATTCATAGTGCAGGGGTTAAGCACTGTGCGTTGGGAGCTGGATCCCATATGGCTGACCAGTTTGAATCCCGACCCTGGTGGCTTGACAAACACACCTGGGGACACATGTGTTCCCAAACCTTGAAGGGATGGAGACATGGAAGAGAAGGGATGCAGGTGTGTCTGGGCCCCTTTGGGGAGTGCTTCCTCCCTCCCCCGTTCTCTCTCAAGTGCATGAGTCCTCTGACAATAAAAATAAAACAAAAACACAGTGTGTTTGAGACCGGACCATTTTCAGGATGCTCTTCACTTATTTTAAGGCTATTTTGGCTGCTCACAACAACACTCTCTGGGAAATTCGCACACACCGGCCTCAGCTGTCAGGGAGCAGACAGGGCTGGAACCGATTTGTAAGCATTGCGCAGCATCAGGGCAAAAGTGGCTGGTCCTGCCTCCCTCACCCTGGAGAGCAGGCATCTCAGCAGCCCTGAAAGGAAGGGAGGACGGGAAGAGTCCAGCTCTGAACCTGGGCACGCTGGTGATGCCAGTGCCCATACCCTCCCTCCCCTGGAAATGCTGGGCGCCTGGCAGCTTCTCTGCCGTCAACCACGCCTCCCCAAGGCAGCTTAATAGGCAGCTCTTCCCGGGGTTAGGATCACCTGGGGAGCTATAAAACTACCGAGGGCCAGACTCCACACCCCGAGGTCCCGGCTTAATCGGTCTGGGGAAAGGCCTGGGCCCTGGGACTTTCACAGAGCTCCTTGAGGGATTCGAACGTGCGGCCAAGCTTCTAATCATATCACTCTGCTCATTAAGAAGAGTCTGAGCATTCCTGTCCTGGTCCTCTCGGAGCTCTGGGCCTAACCAGGGACACACATGGGCTCTGGGTGTCCGTGAGCTGCTGCATCATCAGTGGCTGGGACTGACATACAGCAAAGTCGGGGGCAGAACTCGCCTCCCTCCTCCTGAGCCCTCTCTGGATGGGTGAGCGTGTGCTCGCACATGTGTGCACATGGTTTTACTAACAGTCCAGAGAGGCGAACAGGCTCCATCCAGACCCGGGAGCTAACACCCAGGAGCGAGGCTGGCGTGAGCGGCCCTGCGGTTGAGCCGTGGGAGGTGTGCAGAGGGGCGGAGAGCACAGAACGGAGGCCGCGTCCCTGGGGCTGTCACTGCTCAGTGGTGGCCAACCTTACTATGGAGGAATGAGGTCTGGCTTTCCTGCATGTCCTTGTAATTCAAGAGAAGTCCAGAATCTGTTCTATTAAAACACTTCCCTCTCGGGCTCGATTTTTTTTTAAAGAATTATTTTATTTAACTTTATTTATTATTATCATTATTATTTTTCAGTTTGATCAGCGAGACACAGAGAAAGAGGAAGTGAGAAAGCAAGCCACCAGGTCCGAGACTTGAACCGTGGTCGGTCATGTGGGAATCCAGTGCCTTTAACCACCATGCCACTTGCCGGCCCCTCGGGCTCGATTTTATTAAAACACACGCACGTGAAGCAGGACAAAACACATTGCGAGCTGGACTGAGATCCGGGCTCTCAGAATTGGACCCGGCTCCTTGCTGGGATTTCGAATCTCTGTCGGGAACCGAGGAATAATGCCAGTGGTGCCCTGTCGGTCGGCCTTGACATGTGTGCGCCTCCCGCTCAGAGGTCGGGGTGCATGGACAGCAGCCTTGACAGATCCGTCGCCTGACACCCACCTGCGCCACGTTGCTGTGACATCATGAGATGACGACGACTTTGTTTCTTAG